GTACATAAGCAGCATGCTTTGCTTCATTATTGGAATCGATGTAATAAAAATACTTTGATCCAGTGTCGCTGTTGGTAGAATAGCTTTGGAGCAGACTAAAACAGGCATGGTCATACACATCCCCATGCACAAATCCTTCAGTGTTCATGATAAACTGTGGTCAGAGATGGGATATTTGTATTCGTATCCCTTGGGATATGAATATGAATGTCTCATCTCTAATTGTGATAATTTGCAGAGCTACACATAGGTAGGATTTTTTTTTGAAGGACTAAGGTCATTGCTGCTGCTACCACCACCACTACTGCTACTCCCAGAATTCCTCAACCAATATATCAGTTTTTTTCCCCAGCTCTGGAACTGGGTGGGGATGTAAGCTGCTAAAGGTGCTTTTTACAATTGCAGAGCTAAGGGAACTTATCTTATCACCATCATGCTGTACATTTGCTGAATAAACATTGGGAAACTGATTTCAGAATCCTTGGAGATTATAAGAATCCAGACGTATTTTTGTGACATGTGTAAATGTATTTAGCCTAATAAACTCTTCCCTGTATTGACTTCCTTCTGTCCTTATCTGCTGTTATGAGTGGGAATTGCTTTATAAGGGAAAGGCAGTGCTAACAAGTGGATCTTTTTAAAACAACAACAACAAACCACTATTATTATTGCTAGATTTTCTACCTTTTTTCCCTTTCTAAAGCTTTACATATGAAATGGAATTATAGTATGACATTGACTAGTGGATCTACTGTCTTATAAAAATGACGGTAAAAGTTATATGAATGTATAAGTCCAGGTAGGTAGGAAAAATCTCTGTTGAGGAAGGTAGGAAAAATCTCAGAGAATTGTTATATGATGGCACATAATTAATTAAACCAGCATAAAATTCAGTGCCAAATTGTTGCTTGATGATCAGCTTTTATTACTTCTCTGAACTATAATGTTGACAGTTTGTAAATAGAGTCCTACTGATAAGTCTCTCCTCAATGAACTTTGTTGATCTCAAGTCAAGACCCCACTGTATTTTGTGATTCTACTATTTATTCAGTCTGAGTAAAATCAAGCATGAAATCCAGTTATGGAAGTCTGAATCAACAATTTGTTTGGGGAGTTGCTGAATAGTTTACAGTGGTATGCAAAAGACAATGGAATTATACAATTCTTGATACCATCCAAGACTACATGGCCAGGTGGAATGTTAAGTGGTAATTGGATCCTAGAACTTTTAGTTTTGATAAAATAAGATTTTGGTGTAGTTTTCATTTATTGAAATACTGTGTTCCATATTGAAGGTACTTGGGAAGCTTCACTATAATTTTGAATATGATCATAATAATATTTAAGTAATATTGTTAAATATTTTTCTGAAAAACTGCTGATTTACATGGCTCTATAGTGTGTATTTTCAGGCAGAGCTTGGAAAAGTCAGTGTCTTCAACTACATGTACCAAGTGTTTGGAAGGCCCCACCCCCCCAGCCAGCATGGCTATTCCCAGAGCAAACTATTAACATGTCCTGGTTAGGGGGGTTTGGAAGTTGTAGTTGAAAAATAAACTTTTTCCAATCTGTGTTCAGGAAGTCAGCCTAAGGTGATCTAGAGATCAGATCCATGAATATAGGGTTAGATGCAAACTAGTGTTGGTGAAATTCTGTTCATACTGGAAGAGAGAGTGATTCTTGTGATTTTTTATTTTCCTGGTAGCATCCACATGACTCCTGAAAAACTGCTTTGAAGGGGAAAGGGACCCTTTATAGAACCATGAGTGGTCATGCAAAGAATTGCAAGGAGAAAAGGGAACTGGCAAGGACCCTTCTTCACTTTTCATAGGGTGGAGAGATTCCAGCCATTTAAGAACATGTGCACCATTTACAACACTGCACATCCCTCTTGTCATTGAAACTTGGCCGTTTTTTCTTACTAAAGCTTCAGACATATGAGATCTTCTGTAAGCCTTGCTTGCTTTGTCTTCTATCATTTCAGATTTTGAAGAGGCAGAATCTATATAACAAGCTTAACTGTTAACATCACTAATATTGTATATTCCTTGCAGGATCGTGGGACCACCCAGATGAATTTCTCTTACCATTCTTATTCTTCTTTTTTTAATTAGCTGCTGAATCTGGCAGTGGCAACATATGTTGTAAACAGTACTCACCGCAGCCTTCGCAGCAAACAAGGATTGCCTGTCATAAATCAAATTATTAGCTGGACAACATTAGGTAAGCCTGCGTTATCTTGGCAGATTATTTTAGAGATCGATCTGTCAGGCAGAGATCAATGTTGATTTTTTTTGCTATTTATACATATACCTGGCTGTTTAAAAGTGTAATCTTTGCCAGCAGCAGCTGACCCCAAGAAGAGGTTGTGTTCTGTAATTATACATAAACACATGTATCCATAAGCATCGTCCTGCAAAACAAAATATAGAACCAATCCACTATAAGAAGTATATAAACAATACTGATTTAGAAGCAGACTGATACTTGGAGATGAATAATGCAGAGTGATATTAATGGGATATCTCATTAACTATTATAAAGTTCAGATCAGAGTTGGCAACTCTTTCTTTTTTTGGAGAACAGCCTCTTGAACACCCCCAGCCAGCATAGCATAATTCTTGTCAGACTGAAGTCTGCAGCAGTTCTTGAACCCAGGGCTTCAGGCATGTAGGGCTGGGATTCATAGACTATAGTGGTCAAGATAAATGGGTAGCCAATGTCTTAGAGTGGTTAGAGTATTAGGGATTAATCTAATGTTAGTCTTATAAAGAGCAGGCCCACTGAAATGGATAAAACTTTAGTTGGTTGTGATTCATATGTCCTGTTCATTTTATTCTGAGTGGCACTAATGTTGTATTTGACTTTTTGTTTGTTTGTTTATTTATTTATTTATTTCACTTATATGCTGCCCACACTACCCAAAGCTCTCTGGGTGGCTTACAACAATTAAAATACAATACAAAGATAAGACAATTAAAATAAAATTAAAATACTGTATATACTCTAAAAATTGCCACAGTTGATATTATTTCAGTTTAAAGCCTTGTGGAACAGGAAGGTTTTGACCTGGTGCCGAAATGTCATCAGCATTGGCGCCAGACGAATCTCAATTGGGATGGCGTTCCATAGTCTGGGGGCAGCTGCCGAAAAGGCCCTTTGTCTACAAGCCATCCCTCTTACCTCCTTGAGGGATGGCTCTTTCAAAAGGGCCCCCTGGCTGGATCTTAACTGCCAGGTAGATTCATATGGAAGGAGGCGGTCTTTCAGGTATCCAGGGCCCAAGCCGTTTAGGGCTTTAAATGTCAGAACAAGCACTTTGAATTGTGCCCGGGCAGCAACTGGTAGCCAATGTAATTTAAGCAGAATTGGCTTCATATGTTCCCTAGCTGCGCAGGTCGATTCTGGACCAGCTGCAGTCACCGGACTGTCTTCAAAGGCAGCCCCACGTACAGTGCATTGCAGTAATCTATGCGAGATGTTACATTTAGACATGGCCGAGGCAGATCCAAGTTCAAATCCTGCTTACACCATGAAGGTTGGGGGGTAATTTTGGGCTGGTCGTAATTTCTCAGTCTAATCTACCTCTCAAGGTTAATGGGAAGATAACATCAAAAGGCAGAACTATGTATACCACCATGAGCTTAATATGTGTGTGTGTGTGTACAGACTAGATAGATAGATAGATAGACAGACAGACAGACAGACAGACAGATAGATTCAGACTAGTTAGATATATATCAGTATACAGTATATATATGTTTAACTAGTCTTAACTAATCTAAGGCAGCTTCATGAATTCCCTATTTCAACAAGCCCCATCTGGTTCAAGTAGGTGAGGAGGCACCAAGCTTTCATCCGTAAACACCAAACTGTTTTGGCACAATATTTTTCATATTCTTACATAATATCTGAACAGGATTCCTTCGAAGAGTTCAACTTTTTTTTTCTTTTTATAACATAAGGCTTAATAACATGAGTGTTTGTATGTAATCGCAAGGCATGGGCATTTCTGTGTTTGCCAACTACTGCCAGTTAAGGGCACAGACACTGACCCCTATCAAGGCTCCAGGGGTCAGGCTGGCATATCTTGTCTGAGCACAGAGGAAGATTGGCCCTTCTGCTCCAGACTGGTTTACTTTGCCTGCTCCTTCCATCCCTCCCTCCTTCTCTCAAACCTTATGGCACCTTGAAGACTTATGTTTTAATGTGAGATTTATGTGGATCAACCCCACTTCCTCAGACATTAGAGGGAGACTATCAAGCTGTGAATACTGGAATTGTTTTATAGTTTGATAGTACTCTTCCTGTAATAACAAACTCCAGGCACTTTGACTGTTATCTGTATCCCTGCCTGCTCATGGGGCCATGTATAGACATGGCAGTCATAAAGTATCATCTAATGTCTGAGGAAGTGGGCTTGATCCATGAAAGCTCTTACTAAAATATAATTGCCTTCAAGGTGCCACAGTGTTTTTGTTGTTTCTTTTTCTTTTTGTCTGATATGTTTGCACAAACTTATTTGGCTACTCCTTTGAAACCTGCAGCTCTGAAAGACCTAACATGCAGGATGAAAGGCAAGAGGTTTATGTTCATTTCTAAAAATCTCTTAAGACCTATAATCCCGAGTGGGTCAAGTGTTATCTGTTCATACCTGTAAAGTCTTCTTGATCAGGTTCCCTACCTAGCATTAGCTAGGATCCTCTCCCTGCTCAAGCTGGATACACGGTGACCTTATTTTGCCTTCTTAAACTACATAACACTTTATCTCACCCCACCCGACACTTTCCTTGGGAGCCAAGTCTGACATCATCATGCATTCTTGCTTTTAAGTTACAGCAAGGAAAAGAAAACCTTAGATAATACTGTATAGCATTAATCCCCAAAGAGAAACATTGCAGGCAGTCTTATTTTTGGAAGATTTTGTTGGCTTTCAATATTTGTTGGAATGTGATTGAAAAGAATGTCTATTATCTTGCTTATATGTACAGTTATAGCAATATTTATATAAGATTCACTGAGTACAGTGGTGCCTCGCAAGACAAAATTAATCCGTTCCACGGTTAATGCCGTCTAGCGAAAAGTTCGTCTTGCGAGGCACAGTTTCCCATAGGAATGCATTGAAATTTAATTAATGCGTTCCTAAGGGGAAAAAAGTCGAAATAAAATAAAATAAAATAAAGTCACTTACCAGGTACTGTAGACTGAGCCTGGCTCCTCACAGTGCCTTGGTAGCCCCGAAAAGCAGAAAAAAGAGGGCCAAACAGCTGAGAGCCCGACCCAGCCCGACCCTCACAGCTGATCGGCACTGGGTCTTAGAAGCTTTCCCTGGGCTTGACCAGCACCGAAAAAGAGCTAGAAATAGCTCCCCCCACCCCACCCCCCACGTGGCAAAGTGGGCCCTGCTTCATCTTGCAAAGCAGGGCCATAGGATCGTTTGTCCTGCGAGGCACCAAAGCCCTAGCCAGACCCATTCGTCTAGCGGGTTTTTCATTCCGCGAGGCACTGTAATGTGTCGGAAAATATGAGTGGAGCTCACTGTGTATTATTATGTTTTTGAGCTGTGAAATTCAGTCACATAGTTTGCCTGTGTGGCAGATACCAGCAGTGGTTAATTTTCTGTGTAAAGGTCTATTTTTAAATTCCTACACAGCAAGCTACTGTAGGAATGAACAGACAGACAGACAAACGTGTTTGATAGTGCTACGGTGTAATTCATTACAAATGAATGAACATTCATTACAATGCTGATCAATATAATTCATAGACAGCTTGAGGTTGACTCAACCAGGTAACTAGCTTGAAACTAGCTCAACCTTCCATCCTCCTGAAATTGGTAAATTGAGTACCCAGCTTACTGGAGAGCAAGGCGACTGGGGGAGGGCAATGTGTAGCCTGCATAATTAAATTGTAAATGACCCAGAAAGTGCTTTAAGCATTATGAGGTGGTATATATGCATCACACCTTGCTTTTACCAAAGGATAAAGAAAGCAGCCTAGGTATAACCTTCTGCATCTTTAGTTTTTCAGCATATGGTGCACAAGTATGGTGTTTCCAGCCTTTGGGAACTATGGAAGTGGTATTTAAATAGTTCATTACTGACAGGTATTCTATTTATTGCAGTTTCATCCTTGATAATGCCACTCCTAAGCCCCACATTTCTGTTCCTGAGGTTGCTGAGCATCCTTCTTTCTTTGATGTCAACATACCTTCTGCTAAGTACAGGGTAATGTTCTTGTTTATTAATAGGATTTTGGGTGGGTGAGGGTTTCCTTACAGTTTAAGCTATTTGAAGTCACAAACGTATAGATGTGTTTAAAACAAGGGTGGAGAAAATGCAGCCATCCCTCTTCCCTATGCTGCCAGTCAGTTCACTGGGGTATGCATTTTGTTAGTGGATAGCCTGAAAACTCCCAGTCGTTTTGGGCAACATGATGGTGTTCTTCCATGGGAACACAAACATTAGTTTGTTAACAAGGGTCTAATAAATATGGTTACAAAAATAGAATAAAATAATATGAAGGCCGGGGAGTTGAATCAGAATTGAAAGAGAAACAAAGGCTTGAATAACTGTTCAATGTTCAGTTCTCATCACCTTCAAAATTACATGCTGATCTCTTAACTAAAATATACAACTTGTCCCTTAAAATGGCCAAAGTGCCAGAGGACTGAAGGATAGCACATGTCACGCCAATCTTTAAAAAGGGAAGGAGACCGGGAAACTACAGGCCAGTTAGCCTAATGTCTGTTCCAGGAAAGATGGTGGAAAGCCTCATTCAAGATAAAATCTTAAAACACATAGAAGAACAAGCCTTGCTGATGGAAAATCAGCATGGCTTCTGTAAGGGTAAGTCTTGCTTCACAAACCTTTTAGAATTCTTTGAAAAGGTCAACAGGCATGTGGACTGTTGTTTGACGTAGTCACTCAGGAAAGGCTGCTGAGAAAGCTCCACAGTCAGGGGATAAGAGGGCAGGTCCCCTTATGGACTGAGAATTGGTTGAGAACTAGGAAACAGAGTAGGTCTCAATGGGCAGTTTTCACAATGGAGATAGGTGAAGAGTGGTGTGCCCCAGGGATCTCTCTTGGGACCGGTGCTTTTCAACCTGTTCACAAATGACCTGGAGACAGGGATAAGCAGTGAGGTGGCCAAGTTTGCAGATGACACAAATTTTTTCCTGGTGGTAAAGACCAGGAGAGATTGTGAAGAGCTCCAGAAGGATCTCTCCAAACTAGGAGAATGGGTGGCAAAATGGCAAATGCGTTTCAATATAAGAGAATGTAACATAATGCACATTGGGGTGAAAAATCAAAACTTTAGTTATCAGCTGATGGGTTCTGAGCTGTCTGTGATGGATCAGGAAAGAGATCTTGATGTGCTGGTGGCCAGCTCAATGAAAGTGTCAACTCAGTGAAGAAGGCCAATTCTATGCTATCATTGCAAAGGGGATTGAAAATTAAACAGCCAACATTATAATACCATTTTACAAAATGCTGGTAAGGCCGCACCTAGAGTATTGCATATAGCTCTGGTTGCCACACCTCAAAAAAGACATAGTGGAAGTGGAAAAGGTGCAGAAGATAGCGACTAAAATGATGACTGGGCTGGGGCATCACACTTATGAGGAAGCATGTGGAGCTCTTTAGTCTAGAGAAAAGGCACCTGAGGGAGGACATGATTGAGACGCATAAAATTATACAGGGGATGAATAAAATTGGTAGAAGGAAGCTCTTTTCCTTCTCACACAATACCAGAACCAGGGGACATCCACTCCAATTGAGTGTTGGGAGAGTGAGAACAGACAAAAGAAAATATTTATTTACCCAGCGTGTTGTTAGTCTGTGGAGCTCCTTGCCACAGGATGTGGCCTAGATGCCTTTAAAAGGGGACCGACAGATTTCTGGAGGAAAAATCCATCACAGGTTACAAGCCATGATGGGGATGTATAATCTCCAAGCTTTAAAGGAAGGTACTTCAGAATGCCAGATGCAGGGGAGTGCTATCAGAAGACAGGTACCTAGTCTCATGTGCTCCCAGAAGCATCTGGTGGGGCCACTGCGAGAGACAGGAAGCTGGACTAGATGGGCCCTTGGCCTGATCCAGCAGGGCTCTTCTTATGTTCTTAGGTTCTTACATCCGTGCTTAAAAGTGACCATTTCAAATCAACAGAAAACTGTTGAAGGAGTGCTGAGCATCTCAACTGTTTGACATATGCTCCATCCATCGAAATGATATGTGAATGAGGTGTATAAAAGTGACCATTTCAAATCAACAGAAAATTGTTGAAGGAGTGCTGTGCATCTCAAATGTTTGACATATGCTCCATCCATCAAAATGATATGTGAATGAGGTGTACTTGTTTGAATTTAGTCTTTTTCTATGGCCATTAAATAAAATAAATAACTAAATAAATAAATTTGAATTTAGTCTTTTTCTATGGCCACCAATTGACAAACAAGTACTGTAGCAACCTCCTTCCTCAGTTAGCATTCCTTACCTGAAGGTGGGCAGGTGGAGAAATAAAGCCATTGCCTTGGTTTCTTCTTTTATGTTAACTTGCTGTCAAAATATACATTCATGTAGGTATGAAGCCCTTTTCCCTCTGGCGCTGGCTTTGTTGATGTTTGTGTGGATAAATGTGGAACAAGAAGCAGTACAACATTACGGATTTTTACATAAGCCAAAGGTAATGTTTCAGGATAACTACATTTATGCCAGGGAAGCATCTTAGTCCTCGCATTGTTGGGCACTAATTGTCTGTTGGTTTGATTTAGTTTTAGTAACAAAATTGTGGAAGAACAGTTGAAATAGTTGGGTATGCTTAGGCTAGAGCAAAGGAAATTACAGGGACACATAATAGTTGGCTTCAAATATTTTAAGGATTGTCATGTAGTAGATCCAGGACCAGTGGGTAGAAAAAGCAGGGAGGTAGATTTTGACTAAATCTTCAAAGAAACTGCCTACTGATGAGAGATAAGATGCTGTCTAGACTATGCTGTGAGTCATGTAGATTGACACAGCACCAAAGGGAAGCATCTTCACCTGGTGATCTGGCACTTCAGTTCCCTCCCTTCAGAGTTCACCAGATGAGAAGAACAGAATTGCAAAATCAGCTTTTGTAAACTTTAAAAATATGTCACTTTCCACTCCTTTGGGGAAAAAAAGAAATAAGAGAGCAAATTGAAAGGTCACAGAGGTATTTTCTTACCTAAGGCAGCAGAAGTATTTCAACTTGATCATCTTCCTTGAACGATAACTTTCTTGAGAGAGTCATTAAAGTATAATAAAACGGTAGGAAAAGAGGCTTTTGTTGGCACTACAAGCTGGCTTCTCTGAAAGAATCCCTTTAATTTCTCATTTCCTCCCTGGAAAATATACCTTTTAATATCAATGCGATCCCGACTGGCGTTGCTTTTATTGATCTCTCTTCTGCTGTGTTTATAGCTTGCTGCTCTCAGCTTTTCGCACACCACGGATATAACACAGTTTCGACAACTCCACGTAGATGATATCAGGCGATCTTTCTTCTTTGTATCCTTTTGCACTTTGAACAAAGACCTGACTGAAAGAGTGCCAGTGATGGCACCGCAATGCAACGAGCTGGCTATCTAGAAGTGAAGATGATGAATCTTTTTTTAAAGTTGTTTCTAGAAAGAAGAGTTATGCTGGAATGTCTTACTGTTTAACAAGGCATAAGATCTGTTTCTTAAGATGGTGCTAACTTGAAATTGCTGGTGAGCTGTTTCCAGCAAAAGTGCTTGTCAGAAAAACTGTCTGTGTATATACATTATGAAAGAATGTACTGTAGTTTAATGAAGCAGTATTATTACAGCAAGACCTTTATGAGAGCAGGTAGGGGGCTGTAGGTTGTCCACTCCAGCCCTTGGCATCTGTTGATCTGATTGTCCAAATGAAGATTGATACTACACAGGTAAAATATGTGCTTTTAAATCTTGGTGAGCAGAATCTTGTCTCTTGTAGTGTTCGGCTTTTCAGTTGTTTATTCTCAAAGATGAGATGAACACTCCTTAGAGAGGCATGTTCTGAATTTCTGTAATTGTGCACATATTCTCCCAACACTGTGCAGAGCTACCTCAACATATTAAGCGTGCAAAAAACAAACTAAAGGTAGCCATTTCAAAAGCTTTGTAGGAGTGATAATGCTTGCCGGTATAACTGAAGACTGAAACTGGGGATCTGGGAGAAGGGCAGAAAGGTCACTACAGCTCTTGCTCCCTTTAATCTACCCTATTGCAGGAACGGTGCAGGTAAAATTGTCTTTCATTAGCCTCGCCTCTCAACAGCAAAGTAATGAGGCCTGATTTAAGCAGGCAAATGGGAATGGCTCTCATTCTCTTGAAGTCATTTTAGTACACTCCATTGTCTTCCTTTTCCTTTCTGACAGCAGAAGTGGGTCAACCAAAGCAGCCATGCTTTAAGACTCCTGAGTTAAACAGCTTCTGTTAGTCTAGCTGACATATTTGAACCCATGTGGGTCTAACACAGTGTGTTAAGATACAGAAGGGTGTGAGATGGGATGAGCATATGTGCGAATGTGTGTGGAATGAACTTTTGTTTCCTTAGCATATTCAGGTCTTCTTCATGGTGACAGCATTTTTTGGTACCGGAAACATAGCTTCTGTTAACAGGTAAATACTGTTCATTATCTTGAGAGATGCTGAAAGAAGATCACTGTAGTGCTTTTATTCTGCTTCATCTGAATGCTCCTTGGACCATAAAACTTGAGCAAATTTATTTTGCAATGTCATCATTTATTATATATATATCTCAGTTTTCCATTCCTACTATTTAAGTTGTACTAGCCAATCATGAGGCCAAGGTATATAAGCACATAGAACCCCTTTCCCTCGGGCTGTGAAGATTTTACCAGGGGTTCTGCCAAAATTTGAAGTAGTTTTTTTTCCCCACCTACAACTTTCTGAATCTCCTAATAGAGGAACTGTAGTAGTCCTAAAAAGTTACTCGGCCAAACTTTGTATTTCTTCCCACTGGGTGAAGACTAGGTGAGTAAGAGCTACATATGCATGTGTCCACTCTGCACATGTGGGAATTGTACTCAGCATTCCCTATCAGATGGAATGGAAGCAAAAACCCAACCATGCAGAAAATGGATGCACAAGTAGCAGCAGGTCATTGAGAGCAGGAGAGAATGTGCCACAGCTTGTGCTTTGCGGCAGCTTGCATCGGGACTTTTGTCTGGACACATCCAAGTCGTGAAATGGCAGTTGTGAAAGCGCCCACAGACAGGGAAGCATTTTGCAAAGCGTAAGGTGCTGTCAGAAGCAGGCACGAACTGCCACTTGTTCCAACCAATCTGCAAACAGGGATGCAATGTGAAAAACCTGTACTGTATCTTCCAGAATTGTTCCATGATGCATCACATTTTTGTAGGCGAAAAAAAGTCATGTTATTTCTGTGGTGAACATGGTTTGCAAAATGTACATGAATAGTGCTTCTCTCGTTCTCTTCCTCGACATCTAGCTTTGATCCAACTTCCGTCTACTGCTTTTTGACAGTTTTCAGCCCTTTCTTGATGGGAGGCTTGCTACTGTGGAAGGTTAGTCACTTTTAGGGAGTGCTGCTCTCAATATGATTGAGCTTGCAATCCTGAGCACAATTACTTGGCGTTTAGCTTACTGAAGTCTGTGGGACTCACGGCCAAGAAATATGGATAGAACTGTGATACCACTTTAACAGATGATATGCCACACAGTGCAGCTAGGTTTTCTTTTCAGTTTTCTCAGACACAAACTATGATGTTTTTACTTTGGCTGTGCTTCAACATAGGTGTATTTTGCCTGATTTTCATGCTGGCTAATGTTTTTCCCTAATGTTATGGACCTGTAATGGGCTGTAAATCAAACTAAATAAAATAAATGGTATTGAAGTAATATATAAAATTCCAGAATGAATGCGTATTTGCAGCTGCTTGCCTCTAACAGAAAAGCACAATCAAGTGTAAAAGACAAAGCCCATAAGAGCTATGTGGAGAGAAGAAGGTTTCTTTGGGGGGGGGTGGCAGACCTAGAGTAGGGTTGCCAAGCCACCATTGGATTTGGGCTACTTTCACTTAAAAAGAAAAAGAAAATGCTACATTCTCTGGCGGTGCAGAGGAGGAGGACACTATACTGGCCTACCCCTGTCACCACCCAGATCACATTGGGGCCCTGAAAGAATTTTTGGTAGATCTTCAACTCTCTTTCAGCAGGCTTGTTACCTGTCTTTGACCAGGTCAACATCCCAGTGCAAGGTCCAGTTGCTGGTAGTCCTGCTGATACTTTTTTCTTTCACTTTCCTCATCCCGTTCCCCCCCCCAGCCCAGTCTCTCCTTCATTGTTTACCTTCTCCCTGTTTCTCCTCTCATTTTGTGAACCGTTCCTTGCCTTTTCGTTCTTTTTCTGCCTCATTTACCAAAAAAAAAGTCATTTTCTTTCTTTCTTTCGCCCTCTGTCCTCCTTCCCCCAGTGGGTCTCATCGGCAAGGAGAAACAGGATTACAGGCTTGCCAAGGTTACTGAAGGGAAAGTCTGCCAAAAACCACACAGCTGTGAAAAAAGCCACTTTACTTTGGATGTCTTGCAGCCTGCTGAGGCCTTCCCAGTGCATGTTCAGGACATGCGTTGTATTGACTTTCTGGAGTGAATCACTGAGAGGCCCCTGATCCCCTGGGGCCTGCTTCTCAACTGCTCTGCTTATTCTCACACATGTGAAGGCCTGGTAATCGTGGTCTCTCACCCCTCCACCCCACCCCACAGATCTCAAGGCAGTTGATTTGACCGCGGCAACAGCTACTGCTCTTCCCACGATTCCTTCAATATTTCCTTCAGCCTGGAGCCCAACAACCCTTTGAATCTTTTAATCCCAGTGTTGAGTTCCTAAACGTCTTCCTTTGTTGCGCCCACTAGGGAGCCTCTGACAGTTACCTTCTACCTCAGGCACTTTACCAAGTGCATCATGTCTATGGGGATGGGAATGAAGTATGGCCCAGATGCTCTCTTGCGTGTGCCTCCCAGGCCTCTAAAGATCATTCCTCTTGGTCGCACCAAGCATCCTTTGACAGTGCTTCTGGCACACTGCAACATTTAACCTATTTTTCAGTGTATAAGAGGCTCCCCGGACTTTTCTAACCCAAAATTAAGAATTCAATATTTTAAACATAAAATAGAATACATTTTTATTTAGTAATTAGGTAACATTTATATGGGACATGGTGGCGCTGCGGGTTAAACCACAGAAGCCTCTGTGCTGCAAGGCCAGCCATCGTAAGATCGAATCCACACGACGGAGTGAGCTCCCATCGCTTGCCCCAGCTCCTGCCAGCCTAGCAGTTCGAAAGCATGTAAATGTGAGTAGATAAATAGGTACCACCTCGGTGGGAAGGTCACAGCGTTCCCTGTCTAGCGTTGCACTGGCCACGTGACCACGGAAACTGTCTTCAGACAAACGCCGGATCTGTGGCTTGGAAACAGGGATGAGCACCACGCCCTAGAGTTGGACACGACTGGACTAAATGTCAAGGGGAACCTTTACCTTTACCAACATTTACATACCAGTACTGTCCCTGTTGCATCTGAGCACTCCCTACATGCTCCACCTCCAACAACGTGTGTTCTAGTTGGTTTGTTCAGCATTAGTTGACATCAGTTACATAAGCCTCGCGATTGGAGGAAGCTAAGCCTCCTGATTGGAGGCAGCCTGTTTGCAGAGGCAAGGTATGGGCTGTTTTGTTCTCTCCTCAGCTTACTTCCATGTATAAGACAACCCTAAATTTTTAGTGTAAAGATTTTAGACAAAAGTATTGTCTTATACACAGAAAAATATGGTAAATCATCGTCATCATCTAGTTGAAAGTCTTATCTCTTCAGAATTTGCTTGTTTGCTTGTTTGTTTTTACCTCCCCACCCCCTTTCTCCTTGAAAAAGACCCAAGGCAGCTTACAACATTGAAAGACAGCATTTAAGTTGAAAACAATGAATATACAACGGTGGTCAATATTATTAGAAGACTATATTTAAAGCTCAGAATAATGAGTATAAAGAGGCATCTTACGCCATTAGAAGGCAATATTAAAGCTGAGAACAATAAGTATACAAATATTGAAAAGAAATTGGAGTCACATTCCACCACATGCCCATCTCCTTCCCCCTACCAGGTTCTCGCCACCCAGGCTCAGGGTTCTGGCTGCAAGTATTCGAGACCCCTTGCCTACTTAACGCCGCTCTTCCCAAAAAGCCCCTCCATCCCTCATTACCCATTCCTCCAAAGAGGATGCAATGAAATGATTTAGATTTTGAAGGTAGTGTGTGATAGAAAGCTGTGGGCCTGCCAAAAGCTCTTTCAGGGCCACATGTTTCCTGCCTTCAGATCTGGGTGGTGACACAAATAAGCCAATATAGTGGAGTCTTCCTTTGCACCTATCAGAAGGAACTCTTACAGGGGATGCCCACTGTACTATTTTCTTCCCTTCTTCAGGCTGCCTCCCCCACAAAAATGAAATTCATAAGTAGTTTGTCACTTTTTCTTCTCTTTGCATTTCCAGTGCAGCAAAATCGCAAGCGACTCAGGAATGCAACATTTTAAAATCCTGAACACAGGGGTGTTGTTGTAGACTGAGTAATAGGAAAGGATGCAATCATACAACATCACCAGGAGTGTTTCGTGGCAGGTCTCCAAATGCCTTGCGTTCAAAAGCTGTGGGACGATAGCATCACGTCAGTTCACAAGTCAGATAACCCAGTACTATACCTGCACTGAGAACTCCAAATGCCACTTCAAGGCAGTATCCAGATTCAGATCTAGAGCTGTCTGTATAGATCTATATGTGCGGATGATACCTGGATGAAAGACGATAATGCCACACTGTGGGAAATCTCCTGTTTGGATTCTTGTGGAGAAAATGAGCAAGTGAATGCTGTGCACCACAAGATGGAATAGTCAACATAGATGTATTCAGTGGTTTGGAAGTGGGGCTTCAGGAGTAGTGGCATGGCAAGGAATGAGGGATTTCTTCATTGACAGGAGCAGTGATAGCAGAGGCAGCAGGTCCTAGCGATCTTCCACAGATTCTTTGGCATACAAATCTCTTTGGGAAGTGTTCCTCAGAGGGAGATGCTTTAAACAATGGTGTAACACATTATCTGTACTTTTAATAGTCTTCCTAATATACTTATCACAAGTGTTAGAATGAGTGAAATGAAGTGGGTTATTAATATGTCTTCATATGCTGCAGGGAACTGCTATCTCAGTGAGTTAACATATCTGTTAATTAGGTCAAATATCTGAATGAGTGCTTCATAGAAGAAACTGCTTGACAATTGTGTGTCCACAATGTTAAATTTTGTAAGCACAACTTTTGAGGGTGCTTGGCTGTCTTGATGAATGCTAGCAATGCCAACTGAAGGCTTGTCCTTGTTCCATAAGAGATTGCCAGTAGCTTAATGCGATTCTTGTCCTCAGCAGATTGCAATCCCCTTTGTTCTTGTGTCATGTGCTTTTGAAGCTGTTCAAGTCACAACCCAGCTATCATCTAAAAGGTATAGTAAACGCTTTTGCTGAAGAAGCAGTTGCTTTGGGGTTCACTTTGCAGAACACAGTCTGCTGCTGTTTTGTAAATGACTGTGTTGAATGTAATTACCAATCTTCATTCACTGTGGGAAGAATGCATGATTCTGAAACCTCTGATCATATGTAATTGCTTAATTTACTAAATTGAATTACTGGTCCCAGTTAGAATACACCCTTTGAATCAGTGGGCCTTGGTGTGTTGATATACACTAATTGGCAATGGTTTGAATAGGTCTGGTCCAGTTGAGACTAAAAATTGAATTACGGCAAATATATTTTAGAGTTGAGGTGGTAAAAGTAATAGCCCATGTGATCAAAGAACAGATGTATATCTTACCTTCACCATACACCTTAGAGCATTTCATGCACTAGACCAGTAGTTCCCAATTTTGGACCCTCATATGTTCTTGGACTACAGCTTCCAGAAAACCTGACTGGTACAGCTAGTGGTGAAGGCTTCTGGGAGTTTTAGTCCAAGAACATCTGGAGATCCAAGGTTAGGAACCACTACACTAGACAAATAATCAATATGGTTCTTTAGTTCATAGGATGCTCTTTGTTTCTCCACTATGGCAGAGGAGGTTGTTCAGATCATGGATATCACATGATTTCACAGATGATTCTTCAAGCAGTGATGGTTACTACAGGTTAAGAGTCCGAATTAGGCTATAGATCTGATATTTGCTGCAGTCCAGTCAAGGCTATCACTATTGCTACCTATACAACGTAATGTTCTCAGTATTCTGAACACTGTAACACAGCACAATCTGACAAATAGAGACTGAGTTTAAGAATGGCCTTCTTAATGAAGGTTTTGCTGCTGTGGCTGCTAATGATTTTGAGTATAATGTGAACTTATAAAGAATGAGAATTCTTGCAGTGATTTTTAGCTGTCCTTGGAGTTGACAGGCATATGTATGTATTTGTCTCTCTGTGGGATCGTCACCAAATGTTTTGACATTAATTTCAGCAGTGTGATGGTATCCCGTTGTGCATCTGCTTTGCATAGTCAAATCTGTAAGCTAGATTTGTCACAATTTAATAATTATGAGAGGTCTTATTAATTTACTAAGCTTGATGCTTGATAAAATGGGCAAATTCTGTTTCTTTTTCTCAGAGGGAAACAATATGATAGAAGTCATTGCTGAAATTTTGCTCAGTTGCCATGGCGCAGCACATTTTAATGAAATTTCACATTGTAACTAATCATGCTCTCATAATTATAATTCTTCTGAATTAAATTATTATTATAGCTAATGGCCCATCCTCTCTTCCTGCTACTAGGTCAGCTGTTTAGTCCAAACCAGTCATTAGTGATTTAAAACAGTGTTCATGTTCAAACCACTTAAAGAAAAGAGAAAGATAATGAAGTGACTTCTGCTTTCTATAGCATAGAGTTGGCACATCTCCCAGTACCTAAAGATCATTGTGGCCATTTCACAAGGTCAATGGCATCCTCTACCACTTTCACTAGAGATGGTCCACTCCTTGATATTTGCACAACAGCAACTTGGTCACATCCCTTAACTGTCGTTTCGTACTGAAGACTAGGTGTGTGCATTAAGGCAGATGTATTCTTTGGGCAAACTTTGCTATTTTCTGTATTGGTGTAACTAACCCTCCTCCTGGAAATGGGCTGACCAAGTCACCTCTCTGTGTGAGTTAAGGAGATCAAGAAGAAGGGGGACAGGTTACTTAGCTGTTGTCTGTGAACTCACACAACTCACATACCTCTGCTTGTTCTATCATGCGTCATCTTTCTCTGCTGTTGATGGAGTGGAGCTGATGGGGAACTGTTGGGGCAGACAGAGATATACTCAGCAGGGATTGGGTGCAGGAATCTTGTTGAAAGACTGCCAGTCGCTAGGAGATTCTGAATGTGGCTCTGCCACATGTGTGAGTTACAGATGATCAGTTGAAAAACCACAATAACAGGTAAACAACCTGTCCCCTTTCTGTATTAGCATCTCAGTAATCCTAACTGCAGTGATAACCTAAGTTCAGTAAATTCAGTTGTTCTTATTTCGCAAACAGGCATGACCACGAGGCTCAGCACAGGCACAGTCAAGTTATTGCAAATGCCCCAAGCTGAATTTCAGACTTTGTGTAATTTCCATTCTTTGGAAGGCCATATTTGTTGAATATTTGCATTTCCTGCATTGTTCAACAGAGTGCTTCTGCATGGAAAATTACTTGTTAGGGAAGTGTGTGCATGCATTGGTCAACCCTTTTGTGACCCACAACATAGTTTGCATAATGAACCTGTGGGAAAATAGTGTACAGCAGCTCTAAGGAAAAAAGAAAAATTCATCGGTCCTTCTTTAGTCCAGTGAGGAGAGATGAAAGAGTGAGAATTGGAATGTAGGGGCAGGGGAAAGTAAGAGTATGGGGAGATACTCACGGGTTTCTAACGCAGGTGATCCTGTTCATGACTGAAGGAGTGTTGTGGTGTAGGGAGAGACAAACTAGCATGACATGAAAAAAATGGAAGATAACGGGAGAGAGCTCTGGGATGAGAGTGGAACAAATGGATTTGTAATCCAAGTGAAGCTAGGTACATTTGCTAATATTCAAATATAGGGAAGTTGACTTCATTTCTATAATTTAAACGAGTCATAGAATTCAGCTGACGTTAACAAAAGGTTTTGATATTCTGATGCTTAGTGGAAAGTGGAAAGACCTGATATATAACACTAAGAAAATAGATCAAAGGAGAACAACTGTACCTCTCAAACTTGTTTTGTCATATTCTTAGAATTCTGTGAAACTTTCTTGCAATACTGATGAACTATGAATTAAAGTCTTCCTCTGACACTCTCTCCCTCCCCACCCTCTCTCTCTTTCCCCAGGCTTTTCCTCATTGTTCTTGTGATTTCAGACATTATGGCTTTGGTAAGCTACTGTTGGACATTCTGTACGAATAAGATCAAAACCCAGAGAGTCCTGCTAATTCAATCAAGAGATATCTGAATTAGTTTCAGACTTCAAAGTTTATGGAACTAGGACATCAACTGCAGATAGAACCCCCACTACTCCACAGTCCTTTGTACATCATCTAATGAATGCATCAGAAGAGACATAATCTTTATTACTTCAGTTCTTTCACTGAGCTATTTTTAAGTTAACATGGCTAGGTTTTCATTTACTTCAGACTGAATGTTCAAGACTGGGAGTGAAAGGGAATGCCAGATGCACCTGGGTGCCTAGTTTAATTTTTCATTCTCTTCTTCCCTGCCTTCAAAACATGGTCTGCTTCATTTTTTAAAACAAGATATAAGAATTACCAAGGGGAGGGTAAGAGACCCAAGGAGAAGTAAATGACACTGTGTATACAATGCAAGCAGTTGGGCAAAGGAGAAGCAGACCATCTCAACATCCCTGTGATTTTAGGCAAAGAATTATTAAGTGACCTTCTTAATGAATGAAAAAAAGTACACACTCCCCACTGCCCTAGCCTGTTCGCTGGCAGTACTATATATACACATCATGACATAGCTTGAAGCAATGTGCCTTCAAAACACTGTAAGAAGGGATTTTTATTCTTTCATGATCTCCCATCTCTTATTCTTCCCAGAGGAGCTACGTGAAGTGACAACACCTTCTGCTTTTGTTATGTCACATCATGGAGTTTATGCCGTAGAATAAATGTATCTAATATTAGACATCAGAGACTGTCATAATTTTAATTACATTAGTCAACAAAAGAATGGTCCTTCCTGGTTCCAGTCTGGAAGGTCTATTCAGTCACAAATAAAATGCCAAAATAGCATGATAATTATTTTATTTGAATTGGTTCAAAGGAATACCACACACAGGAGAAAGTATTTCCAAGACCCAAGCAATACATCATTCAATTCAGGGAACACCATATATTGCCAGTTCAGAAAGGATTATTTTTCTATTTAAGTAATAAAGGCCTAGGCAGACAGTATCTAGCATACACACATATACATGATATAGTTTACTATCTTGCTTTCTTTGGAATCCATTTATATTCTTTCTTGTAAATTACCATGAGCAGTTTGGACTGCAGTTCACACTGGCCATAATGCTAGGGTTTATTGGAGTTGTCATTGGGGTTGATTCCTGATAGAACCATTTGCAGCTGAAGGTGAGAGAGACGGACTAGCCAAAGATGTTCTAGTGGACCAAACTATATGTTAAGAGAGAAGCGTGACTGTCACTAGGACCAGCAAGCCCATTGTCTTCTTGTGTTAAACTGGCAAAAGATGTATGGCACATCCCTTGTCATGCCTTCACGCAATAAAGTAGAGTTGGGGAAGTGGAATATATGGTAATAATGTGGGTCTTGTTGCCCTAGACTTCATGAGGGAGATGCATGATTGGTTGTAAAATCAAGCTTGCCACAGCATATTCATACAGCTTAGCAGAAATTTGAACTTAGCTCCCTAGTGTTCTAGCCTCCAAAATATTTTTTCCTGACTTGTTTGTTATTTAGTTAAAGATTATCTGATGAAATCTGGGCATTTTTTGCTCGAACTGTGTAAATGCCCTGAATGAGCAGCTTGGAACAGATATTTGAGCCTTGTCATTCTTGTTGTGAAATGTTTATTTGAGGAATAAAAGTGTGCTCTTTTTTTTCTTTTTCTCTCCTTAGCACTTCTTCTTTCTGGTTAAAGATTATGGAAGCTGGCTCGATATTGGAACAAGGTACAAGTCCCCTCTTTGACAATTTCTTCCTCTTTTGTGGGTCATAAAAATGTGCGGCTTATAAACCGAACATTTATCTGAATATATTTCTTCATTAAAACACTGTTTCCTGTCTGTGACTTTTCCAATTCAGGGAAATATTTCAGTGACATTGCATTTCTTTATCTATTCATTCTAATTTTAATAATTGATTTTAATTAATTATAATGATCATTATACTTTTTAAATTTTATTTTTATTTCTTGCCCCATTACGTTTCTGTGGCAAGGGATTTGAATTAATAGCGGTGAAACACTTTGGTTGAAATCCTGTTGTTTAGCAGAGTAAGTCACACTAAAGCAGGTCCACTGGGGATTTGGTGGGTCAACTTTCCATAAGGGCCTTCCCTGTTTGCCACTTACTTTAGCATAGTAAGTCACAACTAGAGTAGGTCCATTTGAATCAATGGAACCCACAGAGGAGTTGATTCACCATATCGCTACTAGAGACGGGCACAACTTATGTCATCCCTCTTCATACAAAGTGTCTTGTGCAGCACCACAGCTGCCACACATTCTCTCTGACCACTACCCCTGGGTGGCTGGCCCACTCACACATCGTTGCGCACCACTGGGGTCCTCTTCTCCAACAGCTGCCCAGTCCAGGCAAGAGCTTGAACTGCCCTGCCCTGCCTGCTCTAGCAGCCAACCACTGAATGGCTGTGCAGGGAGAAGCCCTGTCTCACCTTCTCATTGGGGTGTTCGCCTGCCAGAGGAGTCAGGGCAGGGCAGACTGGGCAGCCACTGGAGAAGGAGGACTCTGGAAGGCTTTGACAACATGTGAGAGCAGCAGCCAGCTTGGGGGGTGGTTGGAGGGAACATGCGGCAGCTGTGGTGCCGCGTGACACATTTCGTACAAAGAGGGACAACTTACGTCATGCCCATATCTAATCCCTACTGATTCAATGGGCCTATTCCAGTAGGACGTACTATGCTAAGCAACAGGGTTTCAGCCTTTGTGTGCTATCCTTATCAGCCTAGGCTGTCTTTTGCATCTCCTTCTCACCAGCCATGATTCTCAGGTATGTATGTATGTATGTATATATGTATGTATGTATGTATGTGTGTGTGTGTGTGTGTGTGTATGTGTGTATGTGTGTATGTGTGTATGTGTGTATGTGTGTATGTGTGTATGTGTGTATGTGTGTATGTGTGTATGTGTGTATGTGTGTATGTGTGTATGTGTGTATGTGTGTATGTGTGTATGTGTGTATGTATGTAAGAGCTTCTGATTTTTTTATTTTATTTAGTTAATTTTCTTGGGTTTTGAATTAATCAAAAGTAGTTTTCTGAACTGTTCTGATGGTTCAGGCTTGGAAATGGTGAATAACATTGCCAAAGGGTGGTTTGGTGTGTCATGACGTTGGTTTAGTTCTGTTTGAAGACATTGCTCACGGGATTTTTTTTCTAAGAAAAACTTTGATAATCTAATGTCTGAATTTAAGGTGTATATATGGAATTGTCCCGCTCACAATCATGCTACACCTTTCTCTGCAACCATCTGTTCTTTTCTCAGCCAGAGTCTGGATAGTGTCATGATCCCAGATAGGCTAGTCCAGGAGGCGAACAAACAGGCCTACCTGAGAGTCCAATAAATCAGGTGCAGAAGAGCCAAAGCCAGAGTCCAAAAGCAATCTAAAGTCAATCAGTTTAATAGTCACCAAAACAAACAGAGAGAGTTTAAGTCAAGCCAATGCAACATGTTATAGACAGCCAGGGGATCAGCAGTGAGCATCAAGCTATGCAGAAGGCAAGATCAGAAGCCACAGGAGAAGTTGTCTCCAGCGAAACTCCCAGTGAGAACCTGAGACATATAGTCAGGCTGCTGGAGCCCATTCATTCATTTGGAAAAGGAACTTAGCTGCAGGGTTTGGTGTGATAGTCTCATTGGTAAGAAGGACTTTCTCTAAAAGTGACCCCTACTCTTGAAGAGGTCTCTTTTACTGAGGAACCTTTCCCTGCAATCAAATACTTCTCCTGGGGTCTTCTAGCTGGGCTCATGCCTTTATCTAGTGGCATTCTTGGGAACTGGGAGGCAATCCATCCCCTTCCCCTGACTCAGGAACAATGCTGCTCCTTCCAAGAATTCAACCTTCTCGACCACCCGAGGTGCAGGAGTTGCAGGATCCAGCAGTTCCCTTTCCATATCAGACGTAAATGGGGGTACCAGCTCATCCTTGCTGAAGGCTTGTCCAGCAGGATCATGACAGCAAGAGACTACAGAGTTTGCCTAAGGCCCCACAAGCTGGCTTTTCTGGAATGCACAGTAGGAAATTGAACTCCTAACCTCTGGCTCCACAGCTAACTCACTGAGATATCCAGCCACCTACATTACTCATTACTTTTTGTTAATTTGGTATAAAATTTGAAAAATTCCCTCAAAATAGCTCTAAAATGGAAATTAGAAAAAGGTACATAGAATATGATATCAATTACAGCAAAACTTATTGTTATTCCTGCTTCTTGGCCACAAACCTGTTTATGTACATATAAAGTTTGCTTAACAAGCCATGGCTAATTGCAGCCAATTAAGGAAGTGCTGGAGTATATCTCAATTGTGTGGTTGAGCACATGACCAGATACATGAGTGAGATGTGCCGTGGCACCTAGTTAATTAGCTACAATCAGCCACAGCAAGTTATGCAAATACCATTAGGATTGTGGTCATTATTTGACTTTTGAAATGTGGCTTCATTATACACTTGTACCCTTTTGGAAGGGTGACATATTGCCATGTAATGGTATAATTTATAACTTGTTAGTTTTAAGCTTGGACCCTTGGACCAGCATAGACTTGCTTTGTCCCAGGAAATGTTCTGCTTTGTTGGACTCATCCATAACTCTGGCATGTCCAATGGTCATTTGGTTGGGTCAAGGAGAACGAAGATTGCTATTCCAAGCATGTACTAGTTAGACATTAGCCCTATACATTTGTTTAGTATCTGGGTAAGTTAAAAGCAGAAAGAGGGAAAACAAAGTACCGCCACTTCCTCCCCCATCACTTTTCTGACACAAAGGAACAGATCTAAAGAGAAGGAACTGCTAGAACCTTCATTTCACAGTGTTTCAGCTCATGGATTGAAGGATCTTTAAACTTGTTGCTTCATACACCCACAGTAATGATAGAGGGGCCGGGGTAGCTTGCTCTCCTTCCTTGTGTGTTTATTGCACCAGGATAGCGAATAGCTGAAAAGCAGTACACCTTTCAGTTGCCTGTCAGTGGGCAATGATTTGAGCACGCACCCTATAATTGCTGCTAAGCAAAACAGTTTCTTGCTATTTTGAACCAGTTCTCAAAACCTTTCTTAGTGGTTATGAATTATTTTGTTCTGCAGCCTTTTCAGAAAACTGTTCTAAGTCCAGATGTGGAAAGCTGCTTTTCTAGAAGTGTTTTGTTTAGGGTTTGGGGGGGAAAGTCTGTGTTTGTTAATAGGGGGAAAAATCTGATGAAAGTATACAGGAATGTTGAAATTTCCGGAACTGCTGATGATTTTACTACTTCTTCATCTTTTCTTTGGGGCATTTCTATCCCTCATGTATTTCAGCATTTAATTGGTATGCCATTTTCCTGCTCTTCTCGGATCATTAATGAGGTTATTAAGCGCTACTACACCTTAACAGTCCCAGTGGCATGGTGTTCGGTGAATGAACAAGCTAGGCTTGATTCTGTTCCCATAAGTCATAAATCCTCAGCTGTCTCCTCAAATGTAAGGAGAGAACTACTTATTACAAGCACTGGGAAGTCAGTCTGTGATTGTAATCTGTTGTAACTTTGATTTGGCTTCTGACATTTCCATTTCCATAGCGTACATTTCTCCACCTTTAGTAGCATTAGTCAGTGATATGGATGGGCCATGGACAGGGAAGTCCAGAAGCAGGTCTTTCTCTGTGATAACACCTTGGCTGTGGAAAGTTGGACTCGCTTTCTCCCTGGTCTGCTTTCAGAGGCAGACAAAGCTGTATTATTCTCCAAGGGCTTTGGTCTCTAAAATTGGTTGTGGAACTGGCTTTCAAATAATAAGCTTTAAAATAATATTTTTATCTGTTTCATTGTACATCACCTTTGCAACTCTGGGAAGCAGAAAAGTGACACCACTTATTTTTAGTAGGTAAAACGTACATGGAGAGAGTAATGACTTGATAATGCATTCTTGTACCCCTTATTGAGTGTTGGAAAGAATAGAATTCAGCACAGCTGCTACTAGCATCAGCTGCCACATAGCTATGTTAATGTGCAGTTTGGTTCGAAATCTCTTTACTAGATGTTCTTGTTCAAGATGAATTTAATTTGTTATGAAAGAGCTACATCAGTCACTGAACATATCAGTCACAGCACTGAAACACTTTCAAAGTTAGCAGTTCTGGTTTCTTTGGAAAGTTGGCCTTTCTGTAGAGGTACTGCAAAATAAGCACTAGGTCAATATGTGCATCTAGGAACATAGGAACAGCCTTATACTGCTCAGACCTTGTTCTTTCTAGATCAGTACTGTCAGTTGCTTTTCTGGATTTTCTATAGACTTCTGCCCTAACTCTATAGGGAGAGCTTTGTTATCACCTAGTGGTCTTCATTCCAAGTTGTAACTGTTAACCATGTCTGACCCAAACAATGGTGTTTAGCATGCTATATTATTCCTGTAACAAAAGTCCCTCTTTTAAAGCAATAAACTGTGTTAGTACTGGTAATGTAGTTGTGTTCCAGCCTGACTTGACAACAATACATCAATATAAAGAAAGCTCATGACAGTTAAGATATGAATCTTTGTCTTACCACATAGGCTCTGGAAAGGGCAAAAAGTGATGTTATGAACATAATGCATGCCTAGTTGGATGTAGCCATTGTAAGTGGTAGGAGTTGATATTTGCCTGTCAGATGCATAGGACAGAATTGTGAAGCAGAGAAAGCAGTAGTTTCTTACCAGATGTTTTGGGTCTAAATCCAAATGCTAATCACAACTAGAGTAG